GCTAATTTTTGTATTTTTGGTAAAGATGGGGTTTCACCATGTTGGTCAGGCTGGTCTCAAACTCCTGACCTCAAGTAACCCACTCGCCTTGGCCTCCCAAAATGCTGGGATTCCAGCCGGGCGTGGTGGCTCACGACTGTAATCCTGGCACTTTGGGAGGCTGAGGTGGGTGGATCACCTGAGGTCAGGAGTTCAAGACCAGCCTGGCCATCTTTAAAAAAAAAAAAGAAAAAAGAAAGAAAGAAAAGCAAAATGCTGAGATTCCAGGCGTGAGCCACCGTGCCCAGTCATCCCTGCTAATTACATATGATGAATCTCTAGTCTCTAATGTGATAACATTGCAAGTGGGGCTTTTGGGAGGTAATTAGGTTATGAGAGTAGAGCCCTCATGATGGCATTATGCCTCTATAAGAAGAGACAAAAGGGAGCTTGCTCTCTTTCTCTCTCTCTGATCTTGCCATGTGAGAACATAGGAGAAGACAGCTATCTGCAAACCAAAAAGCAGGATCCAACCAAGAAGCAGCCACCTGCAAACCAAGAAGCAGGTGCCACTGGCTCTGCTGGCACCTTGATCTTGGACCTCCCAGACAAATATTTGTTGTTTAGGCTACTCAGTCTATGGTAATTTTTTATAACGGTGGCCTGAGCTGAGTAAGATAACTACGTAAGTCACTCCTTTGTAACCCTCCCGTACCCACGCGGCTTGGTTCTCTTCTCACACCTGTCTTCCTAGGCCTTGCTCAACAACTCTGGACTCCATTTCACATCTCCAAAATAGCTCCAACTGGGCCTATAAGTGTTCTTCTATGCATCCATATATGATGCAATGTAACATAAATGTCAGTCCTCATTCTGGTTGACATTAATACCAGTATTTGGGGCCGGGCATGGTGGCTCATGCCTGTAATCCCAGCACCTTGGGAAGCCAAGGTGGGTGGATCACTTGAGATCAGGAGTTTGAGATTAACTTGGCCAACATGGCAAAGTCCCGTCTCTACTAAAAATATGAAAAAATTAGCCAGATGCAGTGGCACATGCTTGTAGTCCCAGCTACTCAGGAGGCTGAGGCAGGAGAATCGCTTGAACCCAGGAGGCACAGGTGGCAATGAGCCAAGATCATGCCACTGCACTCCAGCCTGAGTGATAGAGCACGACTGTCTCTCAAAAAAAAAAAAAAAAAAAGACCGGGGCGGGGGGTCAAACCCGTAATCCCAGCACTTTGGGAGGCCGAGGCGGGTGGATCACGAGGTCAAGAGATCGAGACCATCCTGGTCAACATGGTGAAACCCCGTCTCTACTAAAAATACAAAAAATTAGCTGGGCATGGTGGCGCGTGCCTGTAATCCCAGCTACTCAGGAGGCTGAGGCAGGAGAATTGCCAGAACCCAGGAAGCGGAGGTTGCGGTGAGCCGAGATCGCACCATTGCCCTCCAGCCTGGGTAGCAAGAGCGAAACTCTGACTCAAAAAAAAAAAAGAAAGAAAAACACACAAAACAATAGAAGGACTGACCACTGCCCAAGGCTGGGGGGACATCAGTCACACTCTACTGGTTTCCCTCGAGCCCTCTGATCTTCCCTCTTACTCAGGTACCCTTGTGTTGGCTTCTCTACCCCTGCCTGGACTTTAAAGGCTGGAATTCCTTGAGATTCAGTCTCTACATCCCTCTCTTCTCATTCCAGTCTCTCCAGCGAGCTCCTTCATCTCCCTGGCTTCAGTTACCATCCACGTTCCAAACATTTCCAAATTTCTATTTCCAGACCAGGCCTATGCTCCCAACCACACAGCTTTGCATCCACATACACTTCTCAAAGCCACCTCAAAATCCGCAAGCCCAAAAATGAACTCAAGTTCTTCCCTCCAAACCTGGTCCTGTGCCAGTCAGTGCTTATGCAGTCCAGCCAGAAAATGAGGCATTGTCCTTGGCCCTTCCCTCTTTCTCACCTCTTGCCCAGTCATCAGTATGAACTGTGAACTTGAACTCCTAAATCTCTCTCACGTATGTCTAAGCCTTCCCATCTCAGGCATTGCTACTACTTTAGTCTAAAATACCAATACCCTTAACCTAGACAATGACAGTGTTTTCTTAATTGATTATACAATGCATCCAGTCTGATTCTCAACCCAACCTTGGACATCTAAGTCTAGATATAGCTATGAAATTATCTTTTATAAATTCAAACCTGATAATGTCCTTCCTCTGTTGAAAATACACTTCAGGCCAGGCACAGTGGTTCATGCTTACAATCCTAGCACTTTGGGAGGCTGAGGTGGGCGGATCACCTGAGGTCAGGAGTTTGAGACCAGCCTGACCAACATGGAGAAACCCCATCTCTACTAAAAATACAAAAAATTAGCCAGGCGTGGTGACATGGACCTATAATCCCAGCTACTCGGGAGGCTGAGGCAGGAGAATCGCTTGAACCTGTGAGGCAGAGGTTGTGGTGAGCCAAGACTGTGCCATAGCACAAAAGTGAAACTCTGCGAAAGAAAGAAAAAGAAGGAGAGAGAGAGGGAAGAAAGAGAGTGAGAGAAAGAAAGAGAGAGAAAGAAAGAGGAAGGAAGGAAGGAAGGGAGGGAGGGAGGGAGGGAAAGAAAGAGAGAGAAAGAAAGAGAAAGAAAGAAAGAAAAAGAAAGAAAGAAAGAAAGGAAGGAAGGAAAAGAAAAGAAAGAAAGAGAAAGAAAAAAGAAAGAAAAGAAAGAAAAAAAAAGATGTCACATGTAAGACAAGAAAAGAAAAAAAAAGAAAAAAGAAAGGAAGGAAGGAAGGAAGAGAGAGAAAGAAAGAAAGAAAAAGAAAATATACTTAAATAGCTTCTCATTGCGTTTAGGATAAAGACCAAAAAACTTCTTCACATGGCCTATAAAGTATGCATGACCCTAGCCTCTTTCAGCTCTTCAAGCATGCCATGCCCCGTCTACCACAGGCCTTTGGACACGCCATCCCCATGGCTGGAATGCTCTCTCCCTTTTCTCCCCAGCAGCCCCCTCCCATGCCTGCTTGACTTCCTGTTTTGCATCTCAGTGATGGTGAGGTCTCAACTAGACCATCTCGTTGCTCCCTGTATAGTTTGTGTGATTAAAGACAGCTCTATTATAGGCTCCAAGAAGGTTGAGTCCATGTTTGTCCACAAAACTGTCAGGTTTTCTGTTTTTGTTTTATTTTGTTTGAGACAGAGGCTCTGTCATCCAGGCAGGAGTGCAGTGGCACAATCTCAGCTCACTGCAACCTCGACTTCCCAGGTTTCAGGTGATTCTCCTTCCTCTGCTTCCCAAGTAGTTGGAACTACAGGCACGCACCACCACGCCCAGCTAATTTTTTTTGTATTTTTAGTAGAGACGGGTTTTCACCATATTGTCCAGGTGGGTCTCAAACTCCTGACCTCAAGTGATCTGCTGGCCTCGGCCTCTCAAAGTGCTGGGATTACAGGTGTGAGCCACCATACCCAGCCCATATAAATGGAACCTTATAAAATGCCACAGTCATTGTGTCACCTTCCTCTGTAAAATTATTCCTGATGAGTTCCTGTCTTCCATATGAAAGTCTGGCTGTCTCTTAAAAACCTTCATTGCCGGCCGGGCGCGGTGGCTCAAGCCTGTAATCCCAGCACTTTGGGAGGCCGAGGCGGGTGGATCACCAGGTCAAGAGATCGAGACCATCCTGGTCAGCACGGTGAAACCCCGTCTCTACTAAAAATACAAAAAATTAGCTGGGCATGGTGGCGCGTGCCTGTGATCCCAGCTACTCAGGAGGCTGAGGCAGGAGAATTGCCTGAACCCAGGAGGCGGAGGTTGCGGTGAGCCGAGATCAGGCCATTGCACTCCAGCCTGGGTAACATGAGTGAAACTCCGTCTCAAAAAAAAAAAAAAAAAAAAACCTTCATTGCCTTTGAAACTGACAATAATCTACAATACAAATTGAACTATTTCATTCTAGGAAGAAACCTTGGAGATCATTGTAGTCCAAACCCTCTTCATCCACATGAGAGGAATGTAGTTTTTATTCAAATGAGAAAAACTGAAAGGCAGCCTGCAGTGTAGGAAGGAAACTTGCTTGAGGTCATGCAAACACTCACTCTATACCTATCAATCACTGCACTGGAGGTAATTAAGCCTCTGTACCTGAATGCCATACGATGTTTACTTTCATATGGCATTTAGACTCAGAGCCTAACCATGCTGTAGAAAGAACATTGGACTAGGAATTCAAAGATGTAGGTTTATCCCAGTGAGTCACTGAGTAGCTTTGAGATGTAAGGCAAGCCACTTTTCTTTTATTCAGTCTTGTTTTTCTTGAGAACATAATGGTATCGTTACCCAGCTGTTGTGAAAATCCTAAGAGTGTGAATAAAATAACCTTGTAATACAAAATAATGTAGAGTATTTACAAAGTGTTATGCTGTGTAAGTAATCATTGTACCTACATTGAGGCAAGATGAATTTCTGCCTTAATAGCTA